AAGGTATATGCAGAGCCGCTGACGCAGTAACTTTGACTAGAGTCTGGAAATTGCCCTGAATCATATGACAAGTGACAGAATTCAGAGCCGTCCCGTTTCGCAATCAGAACTCTGTAACCTCGGATGGGCGTCAGAAATAAAATGTCCTGCGTGCAACTCCACTAGGACAGCATCGCGCCTCCTCGGAGGCAGGACAATAAGCAGCCTAACAGACATCGGCGAGGTGGGCTGTACACTCAGGCTTGGAGCGCAGGGCGGCAGCCTTGCAGGCTTTGGGGCGAGCGCCCTTGCGTTACCGCCGAGAACAACGGCTAGCTAGGCCCACCCAGTCCTGCTGAACGAGGTGCAGTTAGCATGGCGCTGCCGAAGGGAACCCTTCTGAATAGTATGAGCCGCCCAGGAAAAGCTGGTTGGCGGGCCGGGGGTGGAGGGTTTCTACACCTAGAGGACAAAATGCGCAGGTTAAAAACTCACCACTCAGCACGTAACACGAAGAGTCCCGAAAAGACCAGGTTGCCCTGAAGCATCCCAATTTATACCCAGCGAAGCACGCGGAAGTCAAGGAATGTCTACTGCGCTTGCGTCGCGTCATGCGCAGTTAGGGAATCAGCTATTCGCTAAAGGTGCTGGGAACCTTCTGCATGGTAAACCCAACTCCTACCTTGTTTAGCGGCATCTCGCGATACCACAGCCTTCGCGCGCGGGACTTTGCTAGGGAATGTAAAATACAGAAACAGTGGTGTAAAGTATGTTGGTGACTAGGTACAAACCGGATAACAAATTTATTTCTCTACTATTAGTTCACCCACTGTGGAGGATATGCCATTAAATAAACTCGTCCCCTCCACCAAAAGAAAAGCTTTGGAGTAATAAGTATGCAAAATAGAAAAAGACATCTAGAGAAATGCAGTCTCAAGAGGGATTGAATCTATCCTGTGCCAGTATCACATATAAAATAAACATTTGATAAATGCGTAGGTAAAACAAGACAAGTGCTCCTACACAATTGGCTAAAATTAGAAACCTATGCACAGCAGTGTGAATGTACTTAATACTATGGAACTGTACCCTTAAATGTTTGAAATGGTATGTTTTATGTATATTTTAACACACACATCTAATACAAAGAAGTTGGCAAGTAAAGAATCCTTAAGATAATTATTACATATGAAATGTTGCAAATGTGATAGAATTTTGAGTATGGTGTTAGGTAAATAACTGAATTAACATAGAGCCATCACAGGTGGGCTGTAATGAGTAGAAACATCTATGGTGTTCCTCCTATGAGATTTAGCTGGGTGCTTTACACATATTTTTTTTTACTATCACAGCAATTCTAAAATATAGGTGTTACTTCCTAGATTTTAAAATGTGAAACAGGCTCAGAGCAGTAGGTCTTAAAGTGTGGTTGACAGACCCTGAGGTGCTTGAGGCTCTTTTGGGAATCCATGAGGTCAAAACTGTTTTTTATATATAGACTTTCTTTGCCTTTTTTCACTGTGTTGACTCTGCACTGATGCTGTGAAGTGAATAAAAGTGCTGGTGCCTTAGTATGGCTCAAAGCCCTATCACCAAACTGTACTGGTAGTCATTGTATTTTTCATTGTCACATTTTTCCAGTTTGAAAAAAAGTCAGTGTCACCTAGAATGTCCTTAATGAAATAAAAATCACTAACATTATTAATTCTTGACTTTTGAGTATCCATCTAGTTTTATTATTCTGAGACAAAGTGAGAAATATACATAAAGCCTTTTGCTGCACGCAAAAGTAGTGGTTGTCTCCAGGAAGAGCACTTACGCTATTGTTTTGAGTTGTGAGCTGAAATAGCCACATTTTTTTCCTGGAATACCATTTTACTTGAAAGAACAGCTGACATCTTTACCAACTATATGTTTGCATGAGAATGGATTTTCTTCATTTACTTAAACCAAGATAACATGTTACAACAGATTGAATACAGAAGCAAATATGAGAATTGAGCTGTCTTCTATGAAATAAGACTTAAAGGTTTTGTAAAAAATGTAGAACAGTGCCACTCTTCTTCTCACTAGTTATTTTTGTAAATGTTATTTTCATAAAGATATTAATGTTAATGTGCAATGGGTTATTTTGAAGTGTATTATATTTAATTTTTTTCTCAGTTTTAATTAAGTAAAGTATCAGTAAATATCACTCACAGATACAAAAGTCCTTGGGTTCTGAATAATTTTTAAAATTGTAAAGGGACCACAAAACCAAAATTTTGAGAACTAGTACTTTAGAGGAAGACAAATAATTCTGCTACTTCTCTGGTTATAGTACCATTATTTAGCTACTTTTCACTCATTCAGTATCTACTTAGTGCACAACTTAATTGCTAGGCACTGTGCTGGACACCTGGGGAGTCTGAGATGAAGTACTTTTTCTGTCCTTGAGAGCTCACCGTGGGGGAAATAGGCATGATGGCAAATTATACTACTGATTGATGAGTGCTGTATGGCATGAATAAATATTTTGAGAACACGGAAGACAGAGCAATTAAACCATCTGCTCAAGGCTGAAAAAGTTTTCCTGGGGAGTAAATTTGAGTTAAAACTTGAAAGAATAATGGGATGGGTGTTGGGTGATGCCAACATTCCAGGCTGAGGAACTAGCAGGCCTATGGGCTCCCAGGAAGGGTGAGAGCATTAATGAGTAACATTAAAATGATGAGGAGCACACTGATGGACAGTGACTGTAATGGGGTTTGTGGGGGGGACTTGGTGAAGGGGGGAGCCTAGTAAACATAATGTTCTTCATGTAATTGCAGATTAATGATACCAAAATTTAAAAAAAAAACATGAGGAACATTTAACTGCCTGGACTTTTCATCTTGCAGGTAGGTATGTGGGGGCCAATAAGTTTTGAAGTAAAGGTTTGCTGTGACTATTGTTGCATTTTAGAAAGGTAACTCTAGGGGCGATGTTGGAGGATAGAGTAGAAAAACGAGGTCATGAGTTCCATTAAATTATGTTGGCTTTGAACTTGGGTGGTAAACAAGGCAAGAGATAGAAATTGAGACATTTCTGACATAGACAACACACAGTATTGTCCCACTGGACATGTGAAGAAAGGAACTTACGGATAACACCAAAGTTTCAGACTTGGGAGGCTGAACACTTGGTGGTCTCTAATTCTGATAACTGAAAAGGCTATGGAGAAGATAGTAAGGTCCATGTTGGAAGTGCTTATAAGTTACCTTTAAGTATTTGGATATATGTAAATATGTCCAGAGGGTGACTGGATATAGGGTTGAACTTCAGCAGGAAATTTGAGTTATAAAGATTTAGAAGTTGTCAGAATGAGTGGTGGCTGGTCACCTCAGGAGAGTGGGGAGAATGTTGGGAGGGCATGGAAAGCCGGTATTTAAATGGTGGTCAGGGAAGAAGCTAGTAAGGCAGAGAAAGCATGGCCTGAGGAGAACCGGAGACAGTGGTGTCTGAGAGGCCAAGGAACCTCGGGGAACAGGACATGGCCGAGCATCAGTGCTGTGCTTATACAGGGTAGGCAATGCATCAAGAACTGAAAACAGGCTTTGGGTGCAGTTGATAAGTCACTGGTGACCTCAAGCAAAGCCATTTTATTTTGAATTTAGATTTAGATGAGTTGAATGAATGTGGCTTTAGAAATGGGGACAGTCTGCAAAGAAGCCAAAAACTGATGTCACGAAGCCTAATATTCCCCCTTTTTTTCTCCACCTGTCATTTATTTAGATCAACTGGTTGAACTATACAGAATTTTGTTTGCCATTACAAAAGATGTGAATGGGGTATAGGAAAGGCAGGAGATAGGGCAATATGTTTAAGAGAAAATAGGGTCAAGGGAAGATTTTTTGGGGGGTGATAAGGAGATAAACATTAAATGAATGAAAGGTGTGTCTCCTCAGATGGAGGAAAACTGAGGGTGTTTGTTCCTGTCAGATGACCTCTATGCCTTAAAGAGGAAAAAATTCTTGGAGGAAGAAATTAATGACTCTTCCTAACAGAAAAGACCGATGGAGCTCAAGGGTCCAGACTGCTGGTGGTTCCTGCTTTTCCTCCCTAGGGGTGGAATGAATAGAACTTTGAAGTAATAGTTTAGGCTGTATTTTGGTTTCTGAGCTTGGCTTTTCTGTGTTGTACATTCTTATCTTTAATGTAAGTACACTTCCAATCCCATCCCCTCCCATTCAATATCCACTGGACTCACCCTTTCTGACAGTGGTTTTCCAAACTTCTCACTCTGCAACTATAGTCTTCCCTCTCCTGGATACTTTAATCTAAATCCATAAGGACCCTAAATTCATTGCTTCAGCTAACACTGAGTTGTTTGTGGAACCTAATGACATGAGCAGTTCTGACTCATGGTTTCTTTTAACTCTTGGTAATAGGGTGGTGCACTAATCAGGGATAGTCTGCAGGGACAAGTAGAAAGTGAGTCATCAGTGAGGCCACCTGGACTGAAACTGTGCTGCTTGACAGAGAGGAGTACATGAGGTAGGAAGTGTCCTATTCTTGCGTCAGCCTGAGTCTAATGGTATGTGGTCCATACACAGTAAATCCTTCTAGGATTTACTGATTGGGATGTAACTGCTTGTCTTTGAATATATGCAAAAAATGATTACAAAATTTGCTTTGACACTGGGGAAGCAACTTCATTTCTCAGGTTCTTCACTCGTAACATGAGTATATTTCCACTTACCTCTCAGATTAGGGGTGGAGAAATAGGATAAAGAACCTAGTACAATGCCTGGCACATAGTGTGGGTTCACAGTTGGCTTTCCTCTCTGCAGCTTCTTCTTTTTCTGTGTGTGCAAGACAGGCACAAACATGACTGACCTTCATCTCTGGCTACCTTTAATAACCCTAGTATTTTTTTTACCCCCCTCATCTACTTCTCATTTAGGGCATCTAGTACTATTTTAGGTCATCATTTTTAAGTTGGCTTAAATCTTCTGGAATAAGGTAAAACATAAAAATAAAAACACATCAAAATAGTATAGTTTGTTTTTTAAATTCTAAAATACTTTAATAATTAATATTGATAGGAAGACTGATATACAAAGCAATTACTTATTTTACAAGGAGAGTCTGTACATCAGGGAAACATCTTGAAGTACAATTCTTTACATTAAGCTTTTATTTTTTCTTTACATTGTGATCGTGAATTGTTACTTACATGAAAAAGGAATACAAATTAATTATATATATATATATAAACACCTGAAAAGACTTGACTCCCAAAGTATCTTGTTTCAAAAGAACAGGAGATGAGAGATGAACTAGATTCCTTGGTGGCACATAGAAAGCAGACCAGTAGCTCAGGAAATCAAATCCTGTTTCCGGCTGGCACATCAAGGGAAATAAAGGCAGTGAAAGAAGAGTTCTAAAATGTCATCACAAGGCAGAGAGTGCTGGCGTAAGCCAGAGTCTCCGAACCAATAATATAGAAAGGTTAGAGGAAGTCGAGTTAGCACTTAATGTGCGGCCACCTTATACACAGACCTCTAACCCCTATGTAGTATTGGGCCTTATCTTCCCTCAGTCATACCAAATGATCAGGAGCTTCGAGGAGATGTGGACCCATTAAATTTTCATAGCCATAAGGCATTTGATGGCAACTGAGAAATCCAAAGACCTCCCTATTCCCCATACAGAGGCGAGACACTACCTTTTAAGGTCACTTCAGCTTTTTGTCTTGGCCTGATACTCTTGATTCTTTCAGCAAATCTTACACAGACATGAAAGGAGAAAGAAAAATCTACTGAATGATTATATACAGAACAGGGAATGCAGAAGAAATCTTATGAAATAGCCACAATTTCCTAAACATTAAAAGGAAAAGCCACATTCATTTGTCAAATAGAAACTATTTTTTTCCTCCCACTTAGTGTGGCCAGGAATTAGAGGGAAATAGTGAGGCTGTGTGGTTTTCAATAAACATTCAAAGAAAGCAACTGAATTTTTAGAAAATCCTATTAAATATATTTCAAATACAAAAAGGAGTGGGGGCTGATCCAATGTCCAGGTACCGACTGCACTGGTTACAGCTTGGAGGAGGAGAGGAGGAGCGGGGGGAAGCTGCGAGAGAGGGTCAGCAGGAGGGTCAGTGTGGAGTTCAGAGGGGGAGAGAGCGCAGGACAGGGCACACAGCACTGAGAAGAGAGGAGAGGGGCCATAGCCGTGCTCCTCCAAACTGCTTCCCCAAAGACATTTTCCTTTCTAGCACCCCACAAGCCTAGGACCTTGCTGTGATTCTGGCTGTGAATGTGGGAGTCAACTGCATACAAGTGCTCCCACAGAGTTGCTACAACTCCGCTTTACAGAGGAGGATTTCCCTACTGGTCAGAATGATTTAGATTATCATTTGGTACAAAAAAGTACAACAGCTCATAAACTTTAAGCCATGAGTTAGTTTTCTGCCAAGTTGGCATTAATATAAAGGCCTTTTTTGGTTTTGATTTTGTATTAGAACATACATGCTTTTTTCATTTTCTCCAACTTGGAATCTGGTGATAGCTCAGATTGTTTAATAGACAGAAAAACGTAAGTTCCCATCACTACTTCAAGATTTGTTTTGTTCTTTTAATAAAAATCAGGATGACATATGCGCAAAGGGAAGAACACGTCAGATCCTGAGCCTCTCTCAGGCTGGACAGCCTGAAGAATATTGCTGTGTTACAAGAGGTATAGTGCAATGCTTTCAACTGACATGCCTTCAACTGGCATGAAGGCTTTCCCTGGAGGTGGGGCCCCTTTGCCAGAAAGTTGGGGGCCTCCAGACGACTTTCCCCACGACCAATCTGCTTTGATGGTTGGAATTTAGCACCTACACAAGTGGGTCTCACAACCAGGCCAGAGCAGGTAAGGCTAATGGTATAAACTGTGCCTCAGCACAGGCAGTCACCTTGGGGAGAGGGTGAAGAGCAGCCAATAAAACTCAAACCTGCAAGTAGCCCAGAACATTGGTGGCTGGGGACGGAACACCCCTCAAGTATGCTGCAATATAAAAAGGTTCAAACGCACCGACAAAGTGTTCAGTTTTGCCCAAAGGAGCACATGAGAATCCATTCCAGTGAAATGCTACATTCATAGAAGTGCTGTTTGTCCCAGAACTATGTCCCCCAGGACTTGATTGGAAGTGCTGAAGTTCCCTCCATGACGCTCTGGAGACTGAAGCAACAAAGCAGCCTTATTTTGGGGATTATTTAGTTCCTCTCTTAAACTTCAGCATCATGGACGATGATAGCTAAAACATGATAAAAAAGAGCCGAGTTACTAGATGTTGTAGATTGCTTTGCTATATGATTGTATTAACAGTAATGAAATGTTATATTCTAATTTTAAAAACTAGCCTCTCCTCCACTCTAATTCTACATGAGCCTTTCTGTATCATGTGACACTCCTGACCCTCTTCCTTCCTTCTTGAAGCTCTCTCCTCTTGGCTCTGTAACACTACCTTTTTCCTAGATTTCCTTCTTTAATTGCTTTTTCCAGTATGCTTTTCTGGTTCATTTTCTTCTGTCCACCCTTTAAATACAAAACAAAACTTCCCCTTGAGAAACATTATCTTTTCTTATAAATTTTATTTTTAGACTTTGCTTTCTCCCTGGACTCTAGGCTGAGTATCCAACTGTCTTTTAGGCATCTCCACCTCAATGTGTCACAGGCTCCACAAACCCAACATATGCAATTTAGTTTCTAGTTTATTGTCTGCCTTCTTCTTCTACAATAAAAGCTCGTCGAGGACAGGGACTCTATCTTGTTTCCTGCTACATCCCAAGCATCTAGCACTGTATCTATCTGGGAGTAGATGCTCAATGAATATTTAATGAATAAACGTGCTAATCTGTTCACCTGAACTCCTTATCGACTTCACAGACATCAAAAATCACAAGTCAGAAACCAAAGAGTTATTTTGACTTTTTTTACTTCATCCCTGGAATCGACAGATTGCCAAATCTTGAGTCTATGTTTGAAATATCTTTCTATTCTATCTCTTTTGCATTCTCACTTTCACTTCCCTGGTTTGAGCTACCAGTATGCTCACTCTGACTACTTTAGTTACTTCCAAGCTGGTTTCCCTGCTGCTAGTCTCTTCATCCTTCCATATCATGTCCCACAGTTCCACCAGAGCTTGTGCTGAAACACACAGAGCTCCAGCGGTTCCTATGGCCTAGCGTAACAGAGCTCTTCAGAGTGTGACTGAAACCCATCTTGTTGGTCTCATCTTTACCATGGACCCCATATGTCTTCTGTTCCAGCTACATTTTCTGTTACTCAGAAATAACTTATTTTCCTACCTCCCACAGCCTTGATAATGCTGGTCTTTTTGCTTGCTACATTCCTTCCTTCCTTCCTTTTTGTCCAAATAATTCTTTTACATACTTTAAGATCCTGCCTAAATGCCACCTTCTCTATGACTTCATTTTGCTCACTACAGTACTTTATTACTAACAATAAAAGTGGCTAACACTGACATAGCTAGGAAAGGGGAGAACTGGGATACAAACCTGACAGATTCAGGACTCAGAATGACTGAGGCATTTATCACATTGATTGTACTATATTAGTACTACACAGGTCTTTTTCCACATTAGACTACAATATCCTTGCTGGCAAGAATGATCTGTTATTTGAGTTCACATTACAATGCCCTGAATGGTGTTATTGTTGTTCAAAGAATCTGTCTTCTCTATTCCTGTTAGAGTTCAGTACAAAAAAATTCTGTATAAAATAATAACACTTTGCTTGCTTTGTGATGGAAAAACATTTAACGATAAAATTTATTTTCCAACTTCACTATTCCTTCTTTTATCATAAACTGCAGTTGTCATTGTATCTCTCTTCATTTAGTCTCTTTTTATAAATGTTCTGAGAATTACCTAGATCTTTTACTGATTTGTGGCTACCTGATTCTTTATGTATTGGGTGGGGCCTTAATCAGTAATTCCAAATAAAAATACTTTTTGGATTGTTTCATGAAGACAGCTAATTAAAATTAAGTTTATACACTAAACTGATCAGATCAAATGACATCAAAGAGGGCTTGTGTAACTCAGCAACGATTTCCTCATACGTAACCTGGGACAGCAAGGCGCAAGGAAGAGAGCACCTTGGCTTTTCAGCCATTCATTCCTTTCTCCAAATGCTGGTTCTGCAACTTATCAGCAAGTCAAGCAAGTTACTTAACACTTCCGAGCCTGTTTCTTCATCAACAAATGGGGATATTAACACACTCTGCAGGTTTATTTCAAGGATGAAATAACATACATAAATACCACACTCAAATAGGCATTTGCCATTGCTTCTCAGCTCTCATTCCTATGTCTTAATGTAGTCTTCTTGCCATCAGCGCTGAGTGTCCTTCTTTTAATGGTGTCATCAGAGTCCTTCCTCTCTGAACAGCTCTGTTATGTTTGGGGGAGCTCTAGCTCGCTCATGTGTATTTGGGTCTTACCGTGTAAAACGTTTGCTCTCTTCATGAACCTCCATCTCTGAGCTTTTAAATTCATTTAATTCTTTTCTGATGGCAGCCTGTGGAGTAGAAACAAAAATGTTTTATCATCTTCTGTCTGCTATAGTACAGCAGTGTGATTTGCCATCTATTCTCTATTATGCTTAATTCTGTGAGTCACTGCAACCTGTGGTAGGCAACCCAGAAGGAGAAGCCAGGTCAACACACTGAGTGAAGCTCTGAGCCTGACGCCATTCATCTTATAATAAACCTAAAGTCTCCAGTTATAACACCCTAAGAGCTTAAAAGAGATATTGTAGCTTTTACAGTTTCCACAGCATATCAAATATGTCTCCTGTTATAACAGTGAAATACAGCTAATTACTAAAATAAACCACCCAAACTCCCTCAAACCAACCAAACACTGTTAAAAATGTATTTTCTTTCTTTCCAGATTTTAGTACTCTGTGATGTAGCAAGGATTTTCTTTATAGTTTTATTGGTGGTGGTAGAGTCATGAGTATAAAGTTTTGGTTTGTACATCTTGGCATATTGTTTTCTTGACTAGAAATTTAACATTATATCAAATGTAGAAATTTTGTTTATGGTTCCCCCTTCTTGTTAACATCTTGCATCCTTCAAATAGAGAGAGAGAGAGAGAAGGAGAGAGAGAGATACCTTGTCTGCAGGGGTCAGTTTGGTCCAAGGTTTGTCAGCTCGCCGGTCATAATCATGAGCATCAGTTACTTCCACATACTCATTAAACCTCAGAATCTTCCTGGCAAGTAGTTCAGCCACAGTTGGCCTTTGACTGAGCTGAAAGAAATGGAGCCTCTCAGTTCAATGTGCCAGGAATCAGGTGTCAAGCATGCATTCACACTGCCTCTAACACAGTGCCTCAGCCTGTGCTGAACATTGGCATCACCTGAGGAACTTTAAACACTACTGATTCCTGGGTCCATCCTCAGGTATTGGCATTTTTTAAGTTCCTGAAAACAGTTAAAATTGAGAAGAACTGCTATAACCAAGGATAACCAATGCTTCCCAAACATTAATATGCATACATTTTATTTGAGGAGCTGGTTAGAATGCAGAGTCTGATGAAGCATGTCTGGGGTAGGGCTTGAGATTCTGCATCTCTTACAAGCTTCCAGATGATGCCAATGCTGCTGGTCCGTGGATCATATTCTTGGTAACAGAAGGATTAGGACTATAAACTCACATATATAATACATTAGAAAAAGAATACACTTAATATGAAAGCACTATCTAGTGGGTAATATTAAGGGTGAATTTCCTGCTAAGATGAATAATGCCAAGACAGCAGACTCTGTAACACATCACGATTTCAGGTTGCATAATCAGGTAATCTGCTCAATTCGAACGCAGCAAGTCTGGCTGTTGGCCACTAGCTACACTTACTCTATCAAGGATAATTCCTTTGTTTCTGGGGAAGGGGAGAGTGGGAGAAATTAGGAAGAAAATGTCTAGATCCCTTACTTTCCTGGGGATTCTTACACATTTTCAGAAATATATTAACATCTTGCATCCTTCAAATAGAGAGAGAGAGAGAGAAGGAGAGAGAGAGATACCTTGTCTGCAGGGGTCAGTTTGGTCCAAGGTTTGTCAGCTCGCCGGTCATAATCATGAGCATCAGTTACTTCCACATACTCATTAAACCTCAGAATCTTCCTGGCAAGTAGTTCAGCCACAGTTGGCCTTTGACTGAGCTGAAAGAAATGGAGCCTCTCAGTTCAATGTGCCAGGAGTCAGGTGTCAAGCATGCATTCACACTGCCTCTAACACAGTGCCTCAGCCTGTGCTGAACATTGGCATCACCTGAGGAACTTTAAACACTACTGATTCCTGGGTCCATCCTCAGGTATTGGCATTTTTTAAGTTCCTGAAAACAGTTAAAATTGAGAAGAACTGCTATAACCAAGGATAACCAATGCTTCCCAAACATTAATATGCATACATTTTATTTGAGGAGCTGGTTAGAATGCAGAGTCTGATGAAGCATGTCTGGGGTAGGGCTTGAGATTCTGCATCTCTTACAAGCTTCCAGATGATGCCAATGCTGCTGGTCCGTGGATCATATTCTTGGTAACAGAAGGATTAGGACTATAAACTCACATATATAATACATTAGAAAAAGAATACACTTAATATGAAAGCACTATCTAGTGGGTAATATTAAGGGTGAATTTCCTGCTAAGATGAATAATGCCAAGACAGCAGACTCTGTAACACATCACGATTTCAGGTTGCATAATCAGGTAATCTGCTCAATTCGAACGCAGCAAGTCTGGCTGTTGGCCACTAGCTACACTTACTCTATCAAGGATAATTCCTTTGTTTCTGGGGAAGGGGAGAGTGGGAGAAATTAGGAAGAAAATGTCTAGATCCCTTACTTTCCTGGGGATTCTTACACATTTTCAGAAATATAAAGAACTCAGACCAAATCAGAATCTACAGAAGGCAATTACAAACTATTATGGAGGGAAGGAAAGGAAAAAGGGATTAATTCCGTGCTTAAAAGCTAACATGAGTCTGGTATGGAAAAGATTCTACTCTAACTGGTCTGGGACCAAGGAAAAATCCTAGTTAGTTTTTCAGATTTTTCAGGTATTACTAAGGGTCAGTTCAGTTCTTTTCCTGATTATACACAACTAGCTTGCTTTGCGAAATTGAATGCTACACATTCTTGTTACCATTTCTATACTTGAACAGATTTTAGAGTCTACATCAATATCTTACATCTATCAAAAAAAGGTCAAAGTTTATGCAAACAATTATTGAGCACCATCTTATGCCAGGCTTTTTTTAAATAGTAAAAATGGAGAAAAAATGCTTTTAATAATGCTGTGCTGTTTTTTTTATATTTACATAATATATTCTATTTTCATAGCAACCTATAGCAATTCAAGTCAAATTCATTTCTTTCCAATCAAATAGGTCATTCAAAAATGAGATATGCAGTTAGTAGACAGACCGAAACTGACCACTTGGACAACATACCTTTCTAGTGAGCCGACGTTTAATCTCTCTTTTTTCTGCCTGACGATCAGCTTCATTTTTAGCTATAGTTGACAGAAACAGAAAATTACTTCAAAATGGAAAGTTGCTTATTAAGCTTTTTAGTACATTTTTTACAGGCTCCAAGTCAGAATAAAATACTAATTGTGGGAATACTAACCAACATAATTTTCTTGTCAACTGGTGTAGTTAAATACATAAAAGCAAGGGTCAGCAAACTATAGTACCAAATCTGGCCAGTCACCTGAATTTTTATTGTCTGTAAGGTAAGAATGGTCTCCATGTTTGGTTTTGTTTTTTGTATCATTAATATACAATTACAAGATAAACATAGGGGTGCATATGTTTTTCAAACTGGGCTGCTGCATTCTTAGGGTAAATTCCTAGGAGTGGAATTCCTGGGTCAAATGGTATTTTTATTTTGAGTTTTTTGAGGAACCTTCATACTGCTTTCCACAATGGTTGAACTAGTTGACATTCCCACCAGCAGTGTAGAAGGGTTCCCCTTTCTCCACATCCTCACCAGCATTTGTTGTTGTCTGTCTTTTGGATGGTCGCCATCCTTACTGGTGTGAGGTGATATCTTGATGTGGCTTTAATTTACATTTCTCTGATGACTAGCAATGTGGAACATCTTTTCATGTGCCTGTTGGCCATCTGAATTTCTTCTTTGGAGAAGTGTCTGTTCAGCTCCTCTGCCCATTTTTAAATTGGATTATTTGCCTTTTGTTTGTCGAGGTGTGTGAGCTCTTTGTATATTTTTGATGTCAACCCCTTAGTCGTCATGTTTTTAAATGATTACATTTTGAATGGTTTGATCAGTACCTATGTAGTAGCTTCCTTTTGCTTTTGGCCTGCAAAGTTGAAAATATTTACTATGTGCCCATTAAGAAACTACAGATTCTTGCTCGAGTAATTAATTACTAAGAATGGAGAACACACTGTGTTTCCCATGATATGTCAAAAAATACCCACACTTTAATATTTACTTAGTGACTAAATTGTATAAATCCAGATAATGATGAGAGAACAGGGGATGGATTGGTTAAACTGAACATGCCTACAAGTAACCCTGTAAAGCCTAATCTTCTTCAGTGTGGAGGTTTTTAAGGTCAAATTTCACCCTATAATCTGGAAAAATAAAATCTGTACTACATTAGAATGCTATTTCAGGAAGTTAATTATGTACACAGAAAGAAAATTAAGTATGTGGTCCCATTTTGTGACTTCAGGGGTATGAAAGTCTTAAGAGATGAAAATGGCAGGAAGACGCCTGCATTTGGGACTTGTTTTGGGCCCTAGCCCTAAGATTTCACTAGAAACAGGAAGGTCCCTTCCAAATGCACAGTCATTATCTTATTTCATTGAAGACAGAGAAGTTGGGCAGCATCTATCACATGCTGCCAAATCCTCCCAAATGGCTGAAGTAGTCTCAGGATACTGTAAGAACATTAAAACAAAAATGTCTGGAGTATCCTGATACACTAAGCAATACTATTATATACCATAATGATATCTTAAAAAGGAAGCTTGGGGGAATTCTGTTCCTTCAAAGGAAAAGATATGAATTGTCCTTCTCTGGCTGGAACACTCTCTCCTTGGCCCTTGTAGAAAATGCTTCTCTTCTGTTATGTGTATTAAAGTGAGAAATAAAGAAAATCTATATAATTTTATTGCCATAGCTGGACTCACGTTGTAGTATATTTCGTTGTTCTAATTCTTCTGGTGTTGGTCTTTGACTCAGTCGTCTAAAAAGGAGATAAATGAAAATATTGTCTGTTAAACCTTCCAATCCTGTTGATAAAGACTTGCCCTGGTCTTAGTTTATATTAGCCCCTATACTAGGCAAGAAAATCAATAAATTTGCAAACTGTTTTAACATTTCATTTGTTCATCTAATTCAGTGTTGATGAAACAATTTTCATGTTCAAAGTGTTAATACAGGTATTACAACATAAAAAGGTATCATACGTGCAATGGGAAGTAAGGATTCTAGCTCTAGCTCTGATGTCAACAAGCTGAATCACCAAAGGGCAGCTCAGGTAGACCCAAGTGTACTCCTCTGTGAAATGACGGCTTGGACTTAACTGGCGGCTCCCAAACAGATGTGCTCCTTTAGCCCATCTGTTTAAAAGGCAGATCCTCAAGGCATATTAACAGAAATTGTGACTCAGGAAACAAGAATTGGAAATGAGAATTTGTTTATATATGTGACTTATTCTTTTTTTTCAATAGTGTTTCCCATAGGACTGATTTCTCTCTTTTGATTTTTAAGCCCGTGGTTTAGGAACCACTGGAATTGAAGGTTGTCTTTGTGACTCTATGATTTTAACTTCAGTCTTCTCTGTGAAATATTTGATGAAGTCTCATCCACGGTTCTGAGATGTTACTCACCAATGACAACCTGTCATTTCTGGAACTGGAAAATTATTAATTTCTTAACCTTTAGTTTATACTTCTCAGACAGTATTTGAACTACATGCTAACAACTCTTTAGTTGCCTTCATAGAGAACTCCCAGTCCTATTTAAAAAATTTTTTATTAAGTATCATTGATATACACTCTTATGAAGGTCTCACATGAAAAACAATGTGGTTACTACATTCAGCCACATTATCAAGTCCCCCCAAGCCCCACTGAAGTCACTGTCCATCAGTGTAATAAGATGCCAGAGTCACTACTTGTCTTCTCTGTGCTACACTGTCTTCCCCATGACAGTGCGCTTCCCCCCACACCATGTGTACTAATCATAATGCCCCTCAATCCCCTTCTCCCTCCTTTCCCATCCACCCTTCCCCGCCCTTCCCCTTTGGTAACCACTAGTTCCTTCTTAGAGTCTGTGAGTCTATACTCCACAAATGAGGGAAATCATTTGGTACTTGTCTTTCTCTGCCTGGCTTATTTCACTGAGCATAATACCTTCTAGCTCCATCCATGTTGTTGCAAATGGTAGGATTTGTTTCTTCCTTATGCTCCCAGCCCTACTTTTTAATATACTATTTACAACTTTCTTTGTGTATTTCAGAGGTTTTCTTTTTCTTCTATGAGTAAGAACTTCCTTTTTTAATGTCTATTAAAACAAAACAACTTTACTAAGGTTTAAGTGTTATACAATAAACTACACGATTTGATGTTCTGACATATGTATACACCTATGAAACCATTACCACAATCATGGTAACGAACATATCCATTACCCTTATATTGGTTTCCAAGGGCACTGTAACAAATTACCACAAACTGGGTGGTTTAAAACAACAGAAATTTATCCTCTCACAGTTTTTGAGGCCAGAAGTCCAAAACCAAGATATTGGCAAGGTTGGTTCCTTCTGAATCCTCTGGGAAAGAATCTATCCCATGCCTTTCTTTCTAGCTTCTGGTGGTTGCTAGCAATCCTTGGCATTTGTTGGCTGATAAATCACTCCAATTTCTGCCTCCATAGTCACGTAGCATCGTGTGTGTGTGTGTGTGTGTGTGTGTGTGTGTGTGCGCGCGTGCAAACTTCCCTCTCATATGAGGACACCAGTCTCTGGATTAGAGCCCACATTAATCCACTATTACCTCATCTTAACTTGATTATATCTGCATAATATATATAAAGACCCTCCTCCCCTTCCAAATAAGGTCACATTCATAGGTACCAGAGCTTAGGACTTTTTGGGGGACAGAACTCTATACACTATAACCTACCCCACAAAATCTCATTTCCTTTTGTAATCTCAACCCTTCTGCCCCCAGGCGAATAGTAATCTACTTTATGTAACTACAAATTAATTTTCATTTTCTAAAATTCTATATAAAATCATACAGTGTGTGCTCTTTTTGGCTAGCTTCTTTCACTGGGCATAATTACTGAGATCCATCCAAGTCATGGCACAATAAATAGTTCATTCCTTTTCACTGCTGTGCCTATTCTACCACATGCCTATACTACAACTCGCTCGCTCATTTGCCTTTTGATGGATATAAGGTTTTTTATAGCTAGCTTTCTTTGTTTTTTCTTTTTTTTGCTATTACAAATAATAGCCAATGGAATCGCTGGGTCATATGTCTTGATTTTTTTTAAAGAAACTTAGAAATTGTAAAGTAGTTCTACCATTGTACATTCTCACCACCAGTGTATGAGAATCCAGCTGCTCCTCATCATTCGCAGCTCTGGGTATTATCAGTCTTTTGAACTGAGCATTTTTAGCCATCCTAGTGGGCTTGTAGTGGCACGTCACTGTGGTTTTAATTTGCATTCCCCTAATGGCAATGATGTTATGATCATCATTATCTTTCCATATGCTACTTTGCCACCCCCCTCTCCAACTGGGCTGTTTTCTTACTGAGTTTGGAGAGTTATTCATATATTCTAGGTTTAAGACGTTTATCAGATAACATGGTTTATAAATATTTTCTCCCATTTTGTGGCTTGTTTTTACATTCTCTTAATAGTGTCTATCAAAGATCAAAAGTTTTTAATTTTGATGAAGTGCAATTTGTCAGTGTTATTCTTTTTGATATCACACCTAAGAAATCTTTGTCTAATTCATATTCTCAAAGTTCTACGGTTGTAGCTTTCATGTTTAAGTTTATGATCCATTTTTAGTTGAATTTTGCATGAGATACATACAGGGCATAGATTGAAGTTATTTTTGTGCCAGCACCAGTTGTTGAAAAGATCATCCTTTCCCCATGAAATGGCCTTTATACCTTTGTCAAAAATGAGTGTACATATATGGGAGGATCTATTTCTGGGCTCTCTCTTCTGTTCCATTGATTTACTTATCTGTCTTTATGTCAGTACCATACTGTTTAGGTTACGTTAGCTTTATAATGTAATATGTCTTAAAATATGATTGCTTAGTCCTCAACCCTGTTCTTTTTTATAGTTCCTTTGGTTATTCTAGGTGACTTGTATTTCCTTAAGAATTTTAGAATCAGTTTCACAATTAAAACTAAAACCTACTAATAGGTATTTTGGAATTACATTGAATCTCTTGCTATCGTAATAATACTGAGAATTCTCAACCATGAATATGACATTTCTCTCTATTTATATTTAGGTCTTTTTCACTTTCTTCAGTATGATTACAAAATCTTTTGTCAGACTTATCTGTAAATATTTAAAGATTTTTAATGCTATTGTAAATGTAAGTCTCTTGTATTTTCATATTTCAGTTTCACATTGTTCTTTGCTTATGTCCAACATGCTCTTCTACCTGTGAAACAACACTCAGAGATGAGCAATTAGCTTTGCAGTACAGGAAAAACAAATCTATTATCAAAGATCCCCATTCTTAACTAAGTCATAATCTTGCTGGTCTCTTGCTGACACTCAGAGGGCCACAGATCTATCCAAGATTGCCATTTTGGCCAACAGCAGAGCCAAGAATCTAAGTTAGGAGAGGAGAATATAGTTTAATTAATGGGCATCCTTATTAATTACTTTGTAAGGAATATGTTGAGAGTTCCACCTCCTTTTCTCACTCTACCAAGAGAAATATCTGAGTTGGGCCAACACATGTCTATATACCTGGACTCTGTGTGTATTAGATGTATAGGGAGCTGGCCTGCATTCAACTTCTCTATGCTTATGGCTCCAGCTGAGTTGAAAAATATACTAACATTTTGAAAGGAGGTAGTTACATGGAATATGTGAAATAAATATTATAAATACGGGTGTGATCTTTAACTGGGTTGGCACCTTGTGTTTGAGCAACTGGATAAATGACAGAGGAGTCTTGCTATCCTGGGAGTTTCTGATATTCCTGGGAATACCCTGAATTCCCTAGAAAACTTTTATTTATTAAAAATTTATTTTTTAATTGAGTATAGTTGACATAATAGTTTCAAGTGTATAACATAGTGATTTGAAATTTATATATATTACAAAATGCTCACCATGGTATGTGTAGTTACCATCTGACACCATACCAAGTTATAAACAATATTACTGACTATATTCTCCATGCTGAACCTTTCATGCCTGTGACTTACTTATTTTATAACTGGAAGTTTGAACCTCTTGATCCCCATCACCTATTTTACCTATCTTCCCACCCCACCTCTAGGAACTTTTTAAAAACCATATTTATGTCTAACAATTTAAATTTGACAGATATATCTATCTCATGGTTTAAAGTTCTGGGAGCCATCTAGTTCCTTAATTTCCAAATTTTTAGGGGATACTGAAATATATATAATACGTATTTTAAAATACTATGCTATTTCTAAAATTAAAGAAGAAAAAAAGATAAATGAATGCTCTACTATAAAGTAAGTCTCTAACACACATACTGGCATAATCAAATCAAATGAACCCGTTCTAACCAAAGGCCTTACCGGATCAGTGTGTTCCCAATCTGGTGCCTTATTTCATTCCACTCTTCTTTGCTTTTTCGAGGCCAAGAATTCATGTTCATCTCAGGCTCACTGGGTCTGTGGTTCAATTTCATTGCCAGTGTGTCTTTTCTCTTCACTTTGTTGGCCAGAGCACCTTTGCACAAGGGAAAGAAAAAATGTAGAAGTGTACGGGGTCAACCTCACCTGGAACTATGCAAGAAGCTGAACAATATCCTAACTCCTGGCTTTCTTCTTGGTCTCCCATGATTCTCTGTTAGTCGGCCTGCATTCAGAAGTAAAGCTGAAGACAACTAAAAATCTTTTTAGTCAGATGGGCTCAGATGGGCTGAAGGTTATTTTCTCCCTTCTACCAGACTTCTACATTTTTCTACTTGGTAAGAGTTACTAGAGGGGAGATCATCTAAGCATGGGACAGCCTTCTGAATCACAACGTAAGGGCATTCACACTAACATAACTCACAAGATTCCTATTCTTTCCCACTTTTAGGAATCAGGATTCCATTATTCACAGGTTTATGTATATGAACATGCTTTTTTCTTTGCCCTATGAACAAAGTAAGTTCATTAGATTGAGCATCACTCTAGTCTCTGTAACACCGTCCAAATACCAACTTTCCTCTACTCCATGTTCCTTAATATCACCAAGAGAAGTGATTTTTAAATCAAAACAAACATAAAAACCTGAATGGCTCCATCTACTTGGCTCCCTCTCACTGGCTTGTTCTAAGAGTGGGAATGGGAATGTCAGGGACAAGAGTTCCGCACAGACCTTCCAACACCAGTTAGTCAGACGACTCAAGGAGAAAGAGTGCCTATGTCCATTCATCTTACACTTGCTTAAAATCAGCAAGTAGCCTTATTTATAAAAGAATTTTCTCCTCTGTGTTTTTCTCCCTTGCTTACTATGATGGCTTTCATCCTCATCCTCTTCATCTCGGTATTGAATGGGACCTTCTGAATCAGAGTCACTCTCCTTTTCTTCCTCTTCCTCCTGCAGACACTGTGGTAGTTTAGGAATGATTGAGGTAGATGCCACATCACCAGACGCAGACGGGCAGGTCTGTTGCTCCTCTTCTTCATCGTCTGGACTAACAAATTAACATGATTTTATTTTCCTTTCAGAAACATAAAGGCAAAGTATTGAATAACTATGGAAAAGTCAATGAATGAAACAATTTATAATTCTTTACTTTTTAACAATCTTGTTAAGAAACTTTTTAGTGGCTCATAATCTATGAGGGTAAATTGCCTCATAATCTAAAGGGCTCTGGGCTCAAATCCAGAAAATTTATTTACAACTTATTTACTAGCTTGTGAGCTAGTTCTCTGTAAATGGGAACTATACCTATCTTGTAGGCTTGTTGTGGAATGAGATAGACAAATTCTAGAACACAGATAGTCTAGCACACAGGGTCCTGATGAGCTGCACACAAGTTCACTGTGGTCTGATTAAATGAGAAGACTACACAGCACCTAATGCTATAATTGGCTCATGGAAGATACTCCATAAAAATATATATATTTAACCCTTTTCCCTTTGGTTTAACAATGGAGTAGGACAAAATGAGAATCCAAGGAAGCAAAGAAAAGATGAAAACTCCCCTGCTTTTCACTCTGGAGACATAAAGTTGTGACGTAGTCTACTTCAAACTACTAAACTGTCTCTTTCCAGGATATAAAAATAAATAATACCAGCATGTACAAAAGTTATGGCAAAACAAGTAACAGTAGGTTGCTACAACAGCTCTGTAATAATTCTTGTAGTTACTAAGGCCAATATCCAACTTGCTAAAAAGTATCAACTTTCAGTCACAATTTGTCTGAATTTTTAAAAGACAAAAGTATGTATAAGTACCAGTGCCAGCGTGAACAGAGTGTTTGGGGACAGGTGAGGGAGAGAACAAGATGATCAGGTCCAGTCTATGGGGCTGGAATACTGAGCTACCTTTAAGAGCCCTCTTCTTTTCGTCTAGACTTCTGTCCCTCTGTACCAAGCTTAGGTGACAGGCACTAGTGCTTTCAAGTTTGTCTAAATTCATTCTCACAAGCTTGTAGAGTAGGTATTATCCCTGTTTAGGGATTAGACAACTAAAGAGCAGAAAGGTTAAGTAACACAAACCTCTACAAGCTGGTAGGTAAGTAAGAGGTAGAGCTGGGATTTGAACCCAGAGCTATCTTACTCCAAGGCCAATACTCTTAAGCACTGTTACACTGCCTGCCTTGGATCATATAAAAACATAGGTGGTTTTAATTTTCAAGTATAAAAGTTCATAAATTTTGTATCATCATGGAAATTTCTGCCATGGAAACAATGTTATAGAAATCAGGAGAGTAAACAAAGTCCAAATTCTAGAACATGCCCTATATGCTGATTATTTTTCTTACATTAAATCTATTCATATTTACTTTTCCTAAGTAATTTTTTCCAAGAAGGGCTACCTTGAGAAAAGAAAAGGAAGTAAGAGGCAATCTTTAAATGCACTCACACTTTGAGCATTTCAATAGTGATGGGAAGTGACCTGGTCCGACCCAGGGTACTGCTGTCCTCAGAAAAGCTGTCACTGTTCTCAAAGAGCAATGAATGAGCTCTCTGAGAGCCCTCCAAGGGAGGAGTCATGGGAAGCGGGCTGGTCAGGGCCTGCTGGATTCGGATATGCAGTGGGAGTGGGGGCAGCCTGGAGGGTACACGGGGCTCCCCAGAGCTGTGGTCCAGCATCCTCTTGGGTACTTCCTTTTTCTGTTCTTCCTTCTGGAAAACCTCTTGGGGAAGGTCTAAGGAAGGTGGAAATTCAATTTCTGGCACAACTTGAAAAGTCTTAGCAGGGAAAGGAGGGGACCGTCGGGGTTCCGGAGGTATATGAGTAGGTAATGGGGGAGATGGAGAGGGAGGTGGGATCATCGGCAGTGGTTCGGAGGCCACAGAGCACATGCTCTTCTCTCTCTGATCACTTGGCGCTTTGGTGGTGGTGGTAGCTGCAGGCTCCGAGGAGGACACCACGGTTGATGGAATGCCCCTCTTCGGTGGTAAGGGTGGGGATGGTTTTGATAACAATGTACCACTGTTTATTGCTTGGGACAGTTCAGCTGGAAAAGAGAGAGCAACACCTCAATTTAAAATGGCTTTATAATGCTTGAGGGGCCAGCCCAGGGCCTAGAATCAGAACTGAGATCATTCTTTCAGGCAAATTATACCATTTTGTAGCTTTGCCATTCCCCAGATATCTCATCCTGAAATCAACTTAATATTTAAATATCTAGAAGGCCTATAAATGTATAGAGGCATAAGAAGACCACTACCATACTACCCCAATGAGCAATTTCTTACTTCTTTGCTATGATAATAGATATGACAACATTTTATGACTTGGCGTAAATAAAAATATGAATAGAGACAGAAAAAATGTGATTTGTTCTAACAGTATTCCATTAAAAAATTAAATGGGCAGACAGCAATAAACAAACAAACACTGTCAGGCACTATTATCATTTCCTGATAAATAATGATATCTAGGTATCTCAGCTCTGTATTATAAAACTATCAATAATGACATCTTGAATTTTTATTGCAAATGCAAAGATCTTTGAAGGAATCAAAGTGCTTTTTATCTTTAACTTCATATTCTCCTTATATAAAATATCATCTCACATTTTACAGAAGGAAAAACTGTCCACAGAAGTTAGGTGACTTGCCCAAGATCATATTATGAACTGGCAAGGCTCAGCTAGTTTCCAGGTCTCACTATTAGGCTCCATCCTCTGGATCCCACTGTCTTTGATTTTTATTAGTGTCCATCACCTTTTTTTGCCCAACCCTTAATCTCCACTTCCACTACACTATGGGCAGCCCTTGTCTCCATTAGCATATCCACAGTGCCTGGCACAAAGTGAGTCCTCATTTCATGCTATTAGATGAGAGGCCCCTACCCTATATCATGAGAGTATATATCCGTATGTGATCCTCCAAAGCCCACAATGACTCAGGTGCTCTTTCAGCAAAGTCCCTTTGGAGGGCTCCAAATAGCCTTTAAGAAATGGATCATCACACATCATGGAGAGGCTGACCTAGCAAAATAATTAAATAGTGGTTCTCCCAATCACCAATCTCTAACCAAGGCCTTATTTTGGTCCCACTGTTTTCAAATGGTTCCATGTCTTTCCTAGAAACACCTCAAGGTTTCCTGAAATAAAAATTAACTTGCCCCACAAATCCCATTCCACAGGCAGCATTCAAAGAAAAAGGCTAGTTAATATGATAATGTTTTGATGTCACTCCTCAGAAATTTTAAAAAGCAATTTCTAGGAAAATAGACATATAAAAGAGATTTTTAAAATGTGAATTTTAGGATCAGTGAAAGATACTTTTGGGTAGACTGCATTTTTGCTGCCTCTCTAAAAGAGCAGTTAGCTATTCCACCTAAACAGACCACCCCTAACAGGACCAAATTTGTGCATTCTGACATTTGAACTGCTAAGGTAAACTACCTTTGGCAGTTTAATGAAAATATATGCCCGAATATATTAAGGAAGTGAACATACCCTGAACAACAGCATTTGGCTGTAGTTCAGTAGGCAAGAAGCCAGAATGTTCATGGGAGGGCTTACAAGTTCCCTTCATCTGTTCAGCTGTTTAGGTGGTCCTTCCTTAGTCCTTAATCCTAATACTGTCATGCTTCTTAGTAGATACAGCAATATCTAAAGTAGTGGTTGCCAAATGTTTGGATTTCATGGACCAACACAATTCAAAAGAAATTCTTGACCAACCTCAGGTTATTTTTAATATTTCGAAGTAGACTTTGAATTAAGTAAAACATTTATGAATAAAACCATTTCATGAAAGAAATGGCCTTTTAAAACCAAAAATTAGGAAGGTCATAATTTTAGAATAAAGGATAGTCCTTTAAATCAAACCTCAATCAAATTAACATTAATAAAAACTGTGAACCGTCCTGTTTTTCTCCTTCTGCTGAGGACTACTCGGACTGCTGTCTGGTCCCTCAGTCACAGGGCCTATATTGTTTCGGACCATTCACCTGGGCCAGAGTGGCCTCTGTGATTTAGCCCAGGGTACAGTACATATTATCATTTTTTTATGTTGTCTTACTCTGAAAAGGGTGTAGTAGTACTGGTTTAGAGCAATGGTTCTCAGTGTACGGCTCCTATTTATGCAGCATCAGTGTCATCTGGAAATTTGTTAGAAATGCAAATTCTTAGGCCCTGCCCCAGACTTTCTGAATTAGAAACTCTAAGGACAGGACCCAGCCCTCTGTGTTTTCACAAGCCCTCCAGGTGACTATCCTCAGAATGTTTGTCTGGACCACAGTTTGAGAACTCAGGTATACATGATAAAAGTCTGGCTCAAGAGCTGAAAAGCCTAATGTTTGGTTTCTATCTCCCCACTAACTGCCATGTTGATTGAGTCACAATTTCTTCACATTCTAACCACCTTAACTATATAAGAGATATTATCAGTTTCCTACCTAACAGGGTGGTTTCGAAAATAAGTATACAAAAGCCCCTTAAGTTCCTCAGAGGTAGGTCCACACAGCACATTCTACCCAACGGGGTGATAACAACCTTCATCTTCTTTTTAATCAAGCTACTCTAACCTGTCATACTTCATGAATTCTGAGCCTGTTTTTCAAGGTTCTCGTCACCCCCACATGACGTGGTGGTATTAGCTACTTAATAACTACACTTTTATTCCTCCATTCTATCATTAACAATAATTTTAAGCAGTACTAAGCCTAATACCATTTTTCCTGAAAAACTACCTTTCTTCCTCTTTCCTGTTCTTGAAAATTCCTCTAAGAAGGTATGCATTTATGTACAGAAGAGATCTAAATAGGACTTCAGGTAAATATAAAAAGTTTACTAAACCAATAAAAATTTTACTGGTTATCTTCCCTGCTTACTCTCTCCCACTACTTATTTTATTAAGAGTAACATTCTTACCTCTTCCCAAGCATGATATTATCACGACAGTTTAATTTAAATACCTTTGGCAGTTCCCCAGGAAGATAGGCCACGCACTGAACCTCAGTTGCACTGCCATCTATGCAATTGTTTTTTTATCTATTGAGCTTACTTGAAGGAAGCCACTGGAAGTTTAAAATAGGTTAAAAAAGCCTTTTTTCTCCATGCAGGTCTTTGTTGTCCTTTGTGGCTGACCCTCAGTCCCGACTCCCACTACACTATGGGCTCCTTGATGACAGGGCAGCCCTTGTTGTCACATGTTCAGCCCCATAAATGTAACATTCCAGAGACAGTGTTTCTGGAAAGGAGATATTAATCCCTCCAAACTTGAACCTAATTTTACTGATATCTGATCCCAGCCTGTTTTCATTCCTAGACATCTGCCTCATTTTCAAGACTTTTCTCTATATCGAGGCATCCAAGATATGAAGAACTCTCTCACAGACCAAATCAATTCGACACCAGTTAACCAATAAATCCATCATCCAAAACCAAACCAAGCCAAACCCAACAGAAACCTAGACTGACTTACCAATGATTGGGTTGCTATTTCTGTGGGCTGGCTTAGGGGGAGGGATAGGGGGCTGCTTGGCAGGGCCGGCGTGAGTGGGGCTCGGGACAGCAGTATTGTTAGTGCTGGCAGGAGTGGCGGGCAGAGTCCTGGGTGCTGGGGACGGGGGGACAGAGGAATGAAGAGTTCTTGCTGGGCTCGTGGCAGCGGTCGTGGTGGAGGAGATGGACCTTGCAGTGCTGGCAGAGGAGGTGGCATCCCTTGCTTGCCCTTCGTTTGCTTCATGAGAAGAGGATGAAAGTCTTTTAGGGGGAAGTAAAGGCTGTTTGGGTGTGTTCTCAGGAACGGAGTCTGCTGCAGAATTAGGCTGGCTTTCAGTTGAGCCTGTGTAGTAACAGATGTGATTTAGAAGGGCAGAGAGAAACAGACTGAAAGAGCTAACATGTTTACTGACTTACAGCCAACTTCATCCATTATTTGACTTAAAGATTAGTTTACAGGAAAAGTTTCCCAACCTCAACATATTTAAGGTATACAACACTTTCTCAGTCAGAAGGAGAGCCTTGTTTTGGTAGTGATTCTCTACACAAGAGCCAGGCAACTAGAGGCAGGCACACAACCCCTGGGGGAAGAGGACGAACGCGCAGTTTGAAAAAGTGCTACATGTATCTGGTATTTGATATTCTCTTCCGTCCTTGAGAATTAAAAATTTAAGTTTTTTTTGAGTGCAAAAATGAGAGGAAGAAATTCCACTTAAAAAGCTGCTACTAGCTGAGGAATTACTGGGGAACAGAATTTCCTCTGGATTTTATTTCCACCTGGCTCTTATAAACCCCTCAGATAAACAAGAATGATCCATGGCTCTTAAGCTAAAAAATCCAGTTTCTTACCTAGTTGTTTCTTTGGGTCCTCTTCCGGAAGAGGTTTCCTAACACTTGCTCTTCTTCCTGGCTCTTCCTCAACTTGGACTGGACTGGGAGCTCTGGTAATGCCTATGGGGGTGGTATGGCCATTCTTCAGCACGGCATGGCTCAACTTCCCTGGATCCTCACCACCTGCAAGGTCAAGAAGGAAAGAGCAAAATGATGTACTGGTATAGTCAGAAAGGGAGAACAGCTGGTGGTCTGAAAAGAACCTCAAGGTTCAAACACTACTTTTGGCCTAAACTGGAGACACGTAAGCTAGGCCCTGAGGCCCATCTCTGAGCTTCTCTTTACAGAATAAAGCTTAGGTCAGTTTTCTCATTGGCACAGTGGCATTTTGTCTAATAGCTGCAACTTATTTATCAATTGGGCCTTTGAGTTTGCAGGCTAAAAACACTTGAGCAAGAGCCAATAGGAAGCATAAGGCAAAAGAGACTGAATGAAGGTGAAAAACAAGAAAGAAGTAATATATGAGGTTTGTGGTAAGCAAGAAAAGAGGACAGGCAGGAGAGGGCATGAGCTAAACAGCTGCTATTATCAAAAAAAGTAAGGGTCAAAGGTACACGAGCAGAGGTGTTATAA